AAGCAACGGGAACTCCGTTTAGTTTATTAGTTTCTTTGGCTGTCATATGGTTTTAGCATATAAACCAAAAGGAAATTTAGGCTTCTAAAAAAGTTCTGATTATTTCTCATTAGTAATCAAGTATCAAACCTATTACTAATATTCCCCACAATAGTTAATTCAATATAAAGCCCTTTATTACTGTTATTAGAATTATTAGATTGATTACTACTTCCTTGCTCTAAATCAGACAAAGAAAACAAAAATGATAATTATTCAGTAATACTTAAAAAACATGTAAAATGTAAACATGCAAATATTAATAATATATGACACAAAGACCATTAAGACTACCAAAAAAACATGGAACAAAACCCACTGGAATTCCGGAGGAAGAAATTTGATTTTACAACCATTACGAGGAGTATTATGAGTTTTCTAATTTTTGGCAAGGAAACCCAATTACAGTTGGTTTACCCGTAATTACTTTTGATGGTAAAGTAGTAGACAAACCTGATTCGCCAGTTAAATCCTGACCAACTAGCGAGCATCTTTTTCAAGCCATAAAATTCATCGGAAAGGATAAAATAATTAAGGAAATTTTGCGACAAAGCAACGGAAATCATGCTTTGAATATAGCGAAGCAAAATAAAAAAAAAGAAAATCCTGATTGGCTTTCGATTAATGTGAGAGTTATGGATTGAGTTTTAGAAAAAAAGTTCAGACAACATAACGAGTTAAGGGAATTACTAATAGATACTGATAATAAAAAATTAGTTGAGCATACTACCAACGACAATTTTTGAGGTGATAGTGGCAATGGTACGGGGGGAAATGAGTTAGGAAAAGCGCTAATGAGATTAAGAACTAAATTACAAGCGGAGGAAAAGCAAAAAAATAAGAATTCTGATAATTCAAACCTAATTCCGAATATTAATGATAATGAAGAAGTTAAATTTCTCCAAAAAGTATTATATACTTTTGCTAACTGGGACCAAAGGAATCTTTCTAATGATTACATAATGTTTGATAACAAAGTTTATGACTGATACCAACACGGAAGTTTTTCCGAACTAGAAACCTATCGCAATCAAATGATAAAACACATTTTAGAAAAAAAATCACTTTCTTTCAGTCCAACTGAACTCAATGATTTAAAAAATAAAATCTGAGAAGAATTTAAAAACAATTCTGATTTATCAAAAACAAAAGAAGAGGAATTAAAAAAAATCTTAGGAGTAAGTAGTCAAAAAAATTCTCCTCAAAAAGCCGAGCCTAATAATAACAATAATAACAATAATAACAATAATAACAATAATAACAATAATAACAATAATAACAATAATAACAATAATACTCCTACTCAGGAATCTAATGACTCTAAACCCGTTGTGGTTGACACCTCTTCCATTAATCCCTTAGCAATAACTAATGCCACTGATATTCCTGCTGCTCAAACTCAGGCCAAAGAGCAAATTAAAAACCTGCTAAGCAAAAATAATTTTCAGACCAATGATTTAGATAAAAGTTTGTGGAACAACGAAGAAAGTTGAGAAAAATATTTAGAAAAATTAGACGATAAACAAAAAATTAACGAATTTATTCAGCAGGTGGCCGAAAATATTCGCAAAAAAAAGCAACAAAAAACGGATAGAGAACGGAAAAATAGAAAAAATTCCTCTGTTAACTGGCAAGGAAAAATACCTAGGATTTTGTTAGGCGGAATCGCTTTTTTGTTAGTGGCTATAATAGTGGCGGTTGTAGTCAGACGAAAGCGACGATGAAGACTAAATAAAAAACAAGCCAAATAATAAAAGAGAAATAGTTGTTTTACTGGCAAAAGCGAATTAATATTAAAAAATGAATGTTAGATAAGCAAAAATTTTCCACGGACTTTGAAGATTTAGTTAAACGATTAGAATATCGGGGGATAACCCGAGAAAAATTATTAATTGTTAGGGAAAAATTAGCAAAAAAGAAAAAATTAACCGAATTAATAAACAATCTCCGCCAAGGAAGAAACAAATTAAGTCAAGAAGGACAAAAAAATGCTGAAAGGGTTCGAGAAATCAGAGAAAGAATTAGTATTTTTGAGCAAGAGTTAAATGATTGCGAACAAGAATTAAACGATTTAACTAGCCAACTTCCTAATCTTCCCGCCCCCGATACTCCCACTAACACTGAGGGGAACAAAATCATTGATAGCAAAGAATATCAACACAATATCCAACATCATTTAACCCAGGAAAAAATACTGAAAAAATTGGTCTTGATTGACGAAGAAAAAGGTATACTTTTATCAGGCAGCAAGTTTACGGTTTACCAAGGCTTCGGCAGCCAATTATTACATTCTCTCATTAATTTTATGTTAGCGGAAAATAGTCAGCGGGGTTATCGTTTATTCGATACTCCTTACTTAGTTAATAGTCAAAATCTTTATAATACTGGGCAATTTCACAAATTTCAAGATAGCCTTTATAAAATAGAAGAAAGTAATTTTTATCTGCTGCCTACTGCCGAAGTAAGTTTGATTAATCTTTACCAAAACCAAATTTTAACCGAAGAAAATTTACCTTTAAAATTATGTGCGTATAGCCCTTGTTTTCGTGCCGAAAGAATGGCCGCCGGGCAGGAAAACAAAGGATTAATTCGTTTACACCAATTTCATAAAGTCGAATTAGTCAAAATAGTTAAACCCGAAAGTTCTTATCAAGAGTTAGAAAAATTAGTAGCGGACGCCTGTCATATACTTAATAAATTAAAAATCCCGCACCGGGTAATTGAACTTTGTCAGGGAGAATTAGGATTTAGTGCCGCCAAAACTTATGATATTGAGGTTTGATTACCAGTTAGTAAAAAATGGTTAGAAATTTCCTCGTGTAGCAATTGTGAGGATTTTCAAAGTCGCCGCGCCCAAATCCGAGTAAAAACTCAAGCCGGAAAAAAATATTATCCCCATACTCTTAATGGTTCCGCCTTGGCGATTGACCGCTTAATTATTACTTTATGCGAATATTATTATAACGAAAAGGGAAATAATTTAATAATACCTGAAGTTTTGCGGAAATATTTTTGGAACCATTAATTTAACTTACTTTCTTTTCTTTCACTTATTAAATTCTCTTCGCTATTATCATTATTATTAACCAAATTACTTTACTTTTTTGTTTTTTTCCTTGTCAGCAATTAATTCATCAATTCTCTTAATATTATATTCTGCTTCCCAAGTTTTTGTGTGAACTTTATCATGATGAGTTGCTAATAATTCACTAACTTCTTTATAAAGAAGTTTTTGAAAATCATTGGCTAGTTCGCCAGTGGAAAAACTGATTAAATAAGTAATGGACTTGACCGAACTAAAATGCTCGCGAATTTTCTCTCGGTGGTAAATTTGTTGTTGTAATATTTCTTGATTTTGTTGAATTTTTTTGGTGGAATAATAAAAACTTTCGCTTCAATTTTTCACCTCAATAAAATAAATGTTTTGGGCAGTTTCCCCATAAATATCAACTTGCAAATCTTCTATTTCTCGCCAGTTCTTGATTAATCTTTCAAACTTAATTTTCTTATTGTTCGCCAAAAGTTGCCATACTTCCTCTTCACCTTTTTCGCCAATCATTTCGGAAACCGAAGCATAAGTGGAAGTAGAGTGATTTTTTTTCTCCTCGGGAGGTAGCAGTTGCGAATTAGCAGGTATTAATTCGATTAAATTAGGACTTAAACTTCGAAGATAGCGTGAACATTCTTCGGGACAGCTAGCGGTTATATATAGTTCTTTTTTAGCCCGGGTTATAGCAGTATAGAATAAATTAACTTCTTCTCATTGTCTAGTGTTTTCACTGGGTAATATTTCCTCGTCTACCGCGATTAAAAAAACGTAATCAAATTCTAAACCTTTGGCTTTATGAATAGTCGAGAGTACAGTTTTTCCTGCATTTTCCAGGTCTCTTTCGATTAATTGTTTATCAATTTGCCAAATAAAATCGTTAATTTCCTCAACACTTAAATTTTGATTTTCTTTTTCTTCGTTCAGCATTCTTTCTTGGTCAAACTTTTCCATTATTAATTGAAATTTTGGAATATTATGCCAATTTATTCCTAAACTACTGAGAAAATTTTCCAGAGAATTAAACTTGTGTGGGGGAAAAAGCGGACTTTTAAGTTCATTATGGATTTTATTAATAAGGTGTTTAATCACCCTATTCTGATTATCACCTGCCATAATAAACTCGTAATTATTGGTAGCAATAAATCAGTTTTTTAGCCAATTGCCGATTTCGTTTTTTCGATAAAGAATTACCCGCGAAGCTGATTTATCTAATTGCTCGATTTTTTCTAGGATAAACTCAATTTGACTTTTTAATTTCTTAGTTTTTATTTGTTTATCCGTCCACTTCTTTTGTAATTTTTGGCTTTTTTTCTCTTGGGTGGCCACTGGAAGTTCTGAATAATTATTTTCGGCAAAATTGGCACGAATTTTTTCCTTTATTCCATTCTCTTCCTGGGCAGTTAATAATTGATAGTCTTTGGCTTGACCCGCCAAAAAAACTGCTGGCTTCTTGCCACCATTAGTTTGATTAGTTCGCAATTTTGGTTTGTGAGGCATAAACTTACGAGTAAAATCATTGGCCATAACTGCTATTTCTTGGGGTACCCGAAAACTGATTGATATTTCCATTTGTACACAGTCAGGAAATTTTTCTTTTAGTAATTGGAATACGTCCTCAGTAGCCCCCGCAAAAGCCATAATATTTTGCTTAGGATCGCCTACAAAAGTAAAATTAGTTTTTTGGTGGCTAAATATTTCGGTAATTAAAATTAGTAAATTCATTTTTAAATCTTGGCATTCGTCCACCAAAATATAATCAAAACTGGGTCAATCAATTGCTGTTTTTTGTTGCTGAGTAAAAAGTAAAGCATTTTCAATAATATCTTCAAAACTTAACCAAATATTTTTTCCTTGGTTTTCTTGGCAAATTTTCGTTAATTCTTGGCGAGTATTTTCGGACAAGAGTTCCTGAGCCCGGACTAAAAATTCGGAGTAATTGGTAATACCTCAATGATAGTAAGGGTCATCTTCCTGATTTATTTTAATCTCTTCCCGAAAAATCGTCCACAATTCTCTTTTGGTTTCTTTGGTTAACTTCTCGTGAGTAATTTGTTTAAACAAATAGTCAAAAATTCGACGCTTACGGGTAATAATTTCTTGGGTAGTTCAGTGAATTTTTTCTTTAATTTGGGGAAAATCCTGATTTTGATAGAGTAAACTTAATTCTTTATTGCGAGCATTAGTCAGTATTTGTAATTTCTTTTTTTCTCGGAGTTGTTTAGTAAATACTTGTTTAACTATTCAATAAGCGATAGAATGAACAGTGCAGGTTAAAATTAAGGGTTTTCTTTTTTCTAAACAGCAAACACAAACTTGCTCGCACAGTTCCCGCAGAGAAAATTCTGGTAGCACTGATTTTAATTGGTCATGAATTTTTTTTAATCCCTCTTCTTTTAATTTTTTTTTGATTGATTTGCTAATGTTCCGCCCTACCGCCAAGACCAAAATAAATTTTCTTTGCTGGGCATTTTGTTGATGAATAAACTTAACACGGTGCCGTAAAATTTCCGTTTTACCAGTGCCAGGGTCAGCGTCAATCAGCAACATTTGTTCATTTAAGGGATATTCCACACATTTTTTTTGCTCTTCGGTTAGTTCAAACTTAATTTTATTCATACGTTTTAATACATGATATAAAAGCATTTTAAGAGATATTTACGTGAACTATCCTACTTAACTCTTAAGAGTTTGAAGTAGGAGCTTCTCAATTCTACAAAGCCTCTAATGAGACTGCTCCTGGAAGGCTAGTACCTAACTCTTGTCGTGATTTATCAAAATCGCTTCCATTAATTCTTAATTCTGCTCGTTTCAATATATTACGAGCAGCATTTACATCTCGATTATCTTTGTAATCACCATTGGAACACTTAAATACTCGTTGACTTAATTTCAATTTCGGTTCTTTTAATTCACCACAATTGCTACATATTTGACTAGTATTTCGTGCTTCAACTTCGACTACTCTCTTACCAGTTTCTGCCACTTTGTAAGAGAGCATAGTCAAAAATAGATTTCAGCCAGCATCATTAATACTTTTGGCTAAATACCTATTTTTAATCCTATCGGATAAAATATTACATTTATTTTTCACCATATTCTTTACTTGTAATTTTTCATGGGCTATTAGGTCGTATTTCTTAACTAATTCTCGACTTAACTTATGGGCTAAATCTTTTCTTTGATTGGCTACTTTTTCATGCTTAATGGCTAATATCCGAACAGCTCTTTTTCTCATTTGTCTCTCCTTTCGGCTAGAAAATAGTTATAGAGCCAACGACAAGTTTCTAATATTTTGTTGATGCTTTCTCTCTCTTGTTGGTTAGGATACGAACGATATTTATAACTCTTTCTCATGGCTTCCTTGGCTTTGGATATATTGCTTAACTACTTCTACTGGTGCTCCCCCAGCGGTAAATAAGCAAAAACTTCAACTTCAAAAATATTCCTTTCAAAGTTTAGATTTGATTTGAGGATATTCTTTCTTAATCAGCCTTGAACTAGCACTTTTATAAGCATTTATGAACTTGCTTAATTCACTATTAGGATGAGCTTTAAATAAGCAGTGAATATGGTCTTGGTCGTGATTTCATTCTTGTAAGTAGATATTATAACCTTTGGCAATGTATTCAAATATCTCTCTTAATCGGTTGGAGATGGGATTATCAAGCACCTTTCTCCGATATTTGATAACTAATACAAGGTGATATCATAATAAGAATGCTGAATGATTATTATTATCTAATTCTAACATGCTAACCATATATAATATATTTTACTACTGATTAGTTTTTTTACCAACTCACCTCGACTTATAGAAGTTCCAAGACTGCTTGGCAAGGATGGGTTAAAAAACGTCAACCAATAAGCGAAGAAGAATTGAGAAAGGCTATTAGTGAGAAAATAGATGAATTACAAGAAGAGGATTTGACTAAGTATTGTTCTAGATTTTGATTTTATTTGAAAAGCGGAAATTAATTATTAGTAATTTTGGTGCCTCGTGGAGGATTCGAACCTCCAACCTCTTGATTAAGAGTCAATTGCTCTACCATTGAGCTAACGAGACTTGGAATCAATTTCTTATAGGTAATTTTACTCCTGAACGTATTTTTCTAAATTACACTGTTTAAATGAACAAATAAATAAAATTGCTTAATTTTAATAATAATGAATAACTTAAAAAGCCAAATTGGGAGTTTGGCCAATCAACCTGGTTGCTACTTATTCAAAGACAGTCAAGGGGTAATAATTTATGTTGGCAAAGCCCAAAATCTCCAAAAAAGAATTAGTAGTTATTTTCCCACTTCTCGCGATAATTATTTTTTTCGGCAAATCCATAGCCTTAGTACCATTATTACTAATAATGTCAAAGAAGCTTTAATCTTAGAACAAAATCTGATTAAAAAATACCAACCCCGTTTTAATGTTTTGCTGAAAGATAGCGGTTATTATCCTTATTTAGAAATTACCAGTGGGGCTAATCCCCGCTACCAAGTAGTGCGAAAAATTAATCCGACGAGCCAAAGCGAATATTTCGGCCCTCTTCCAGACGGTAGCAAAGCCCGCGAGATATTACAGCTATTAGAAAGATTATTTCCGTTAGCCAAGTGTAAAGGTAATTTAGGTAAACCCTGCTTTTATTATACTATTTCGCAATGTTCGGGTCATTGTTGGCAAAAAGTCGATAGTTCTTATTATGAAAATACCAAAAAAGAAGTCAGGAAATTTTTTCAGGGTCAAACCCAAGCTCTAAAAAAGAAAATTAAAAATTCTTTCCAGAAAAATATTGCTAATTTAGCCTTTGAAATGGCCCACAAAGAAAAAAAAATCTTGGATAATATTGACTTTTTTACTAGTAAACAAAACATAGAACTGACTGACCAACAAAATTGTGATTTTTTGGGAATATATTACCAAGATAATATGATGGCTTTTTGTCTGCTTATTTATCGCTATGGTAAGTTAACTACTACTAATGAGGCGATATTTCCGGTTTGAACCAGTCCAGAAGAAGTTAGCGAAAATTATCTTTACCAATTTTACCAAAATAATTTACCTCCCCAAGTGCTTTATCTTCCAGAAAAACTGACCGAAATAGAATTATTAAGAGAAAGATTTGATTTCGTTAGCAAAGTCCCGCGCCATGGCCGCAAAAAAAAAATACTTAATTTAGCCCAAACTAATGCCCAGCAAGTTTGACAAAAAAATTATTGAAATGAGTTTCAGCAAGTCAACAAAAGACCAGTCTTAGAGGAAATAAGCCAGTTTTTAACTATTCCCGTGCCGAATTATATTGAATGTTTAGATATTTCTAAGCTTTTTAAGCAGGATATAGTCGCTGGTTTTTTGGTTTTTTTGAATGGGGAAAAAGGTTTTTCCCGCAGTAAGCTATATAAATTAGGTGCTGGTGAGCCAGCCAGCGACCCTGCTCAGATAAAAAAGGCTTGCTTAATTCATTACCAAAAGTATTCGCCTGCTGAACTACCCGATTTAATAATAGTAGACGGTGGCAAAGAACAGGTAAAAGCTGTTCAGCAAGCCTTAAAAGAGTTAAAAATGGAAACCCTAGTAATTGGATTAGTCAAAGACGAAAAACATAAAACTGCCAAAATAATTACTAATGATTGCCAAGAATTAGAGTTTGGGAGAAATGAAAGAGTTAAAAACTTTTTTACTAATTGTCAAGAGGAAGTTCACCGCTATGCTATTAATTTTCATCGAAAACTACATCGAAAAAGTATCTTAAAAACTAACTAGTAACTATATTTGACCTAAAAATTATTTTCTGTTTTTGGCAATTGAGAAACTTATTGACGATTTACTAGTTAAACTAGGCGCTTTTAGTTCAGTGATTCATTTAATTTCTTGAATAGCATAGCCAAGATTTTTCAGGTTAGTTAATATTTCATTGGTTAGATTAGCAACCGAAGCAGAAATCTCTTTGAATTTGGTTTCGTATTCTTGGTAGATTTGTTTTTCTAATTTTTTTGGTGGTAAAGGACTATCAGGATTCTTGTTTCTTTCTTCTTTTACTTTTATTTCTCTTTTTTTTACTGCGTCAGGAACACATTTGGAGCAAAAATAAACTTTACTATAAGTCATATAACCATCTTCAAATTTCTGACGACAATTACTACAAATCATTTTATCACTTTCTTTAACTTCCTCCCTTTTTTTATTACCGTCTGAATAAGTAAACTCTCACCATTTTTCTTTTTCACTCGGATTTTTCTGATTAGAAAGAGCCACAATTTTTTCCTGATATTCCTTTTGGAGATTTAAAGCATTATTAACTATTGCTTGAAAGTTAGGATTTTTTGAATAAGCAGCAGTTAATTTTTCTCAAAAATCTTGGCTATCTCCTTTTTCTCTAATGTTTAACTCAGCAATTAGACTCAAAAGTTGCTCGGGAGTAATTTCAGAGTCAGGTTTATCTGGTTGGGGTGGCTCACGGGGTTTGTTGGGCTTTTCAGGTTTTTTGTCAGGAAATTCGTTTTTGCCGCAAATATGAACTTTTTCTTTAATGGTTCCATTTAATATCTCATTTAGGGCGATTTTTATCTGGTTAACTTGACTAATAAAATGAACTTGCTTAATTTTGTTTTGTATATTGAGGGGAATATGCTCGAAACTTTGCTCTTTATATTTTTCGTCTCTTTTATTAGTTTCGCAAAGAATAAAAGTATCTATTCCTTTTTTTAAAGAACCTTGTAGTTTATTTTTCAATCCTCCTATTCCACCTATTTTTACCCCTTTAATGGTAGCGGTAGAAGCCAAATTTCTTGGTAATGGTATTTTATTCAAAGCGCTATAAAGGGCTAGATAATGAGCCACGCCTGAGGATGGACCCGCACCATGATGACTGCTTGCCACTCGTAAAATGTAAATATTATAACTTTGAACTTTCCCTAACTCTTGTGACTGTTCTTCAAGCAAGCCATTAATTAACTTCCGCACTGAATCTTGTTGGGCTTCTTCTATTTTACCAGGTGGAAAATAGATGGCTGAGGACTGATAGTTGGAAGGTTTGAGAAAAAGCAATAATTCTCTTGCGTTTCCACTTCCCTCTATTACTTCGTCAGTTTCTTTATCAACTCTAACCGAAAGAACATTAGTTATTCCAATTCTTTTATCATCGCACAAATCAGGGAAATCGTGGTCTAATAAACCTCATTCTTTTAACTGGGTAATATCAATATCAAAATAACCTTTGGCAGTTAACTCTTTACTTCTATCTACTTTATTAATTACTAAATTAGTTCTAATTTGGTTATAATTCTCAAATAACTCTTTAACTGTTTTTAGTTCTTGAATTACTTATTCCCCTAATAACTTGTTATAGTCGCCTTGTATTTTTTCTAATTCTCACCTTAACCACTTTTCAATATCACTTTTAACCCGCAATCGCACATTTTCTAAAATGGATTGATTAGGATTTTGTAAACAAGTAATTATAAAAACTCTTAATTCATACCAACTTTGTTCGATAATTATAGGAGGAGGCGAACCAGTAATTTGAGTTGGGGCTAGCGTAGTAGGAGAGCGGGGCAGCTGATTAAGGCTGCTAGATAAAAAAATTTCTTCAATATCATCAATATTTCGCCTGGTGCCATCTAGATTAGTCGTCAACTGATTAAAATTGCTTTGATTATCCAGAATATTACCTACTAATTGGGAAGCCGCTTCCCGAACTTGCTGCCTTTGCTGTTCGCCTAAATTAGTTTTCTGATTTGGCTTACTATTGTCCTTTTTTCCAGCCAGAAAAACAACTCCAACTATACCAACTACTAATAAAGCAGCAGCGGCGAAAATAAATATTAAATTACTGTTTTTTTTTTTTTTTTTTTGCTCCATATAGTTCCATGGCGTCTTTTTTTATTATTAATGAGATTATTATATATTTTTAGATTGCTCTTGTTATTCTCTTTCCATTACCATTGGTAAACTTGATTAGGTTAGCAAGTTCAGCATTAGCGGTTTCTCTTTCTGATTTAAGAGATTTCCGAGCCTCTTTTCAGGGTTTATTTTGGGCTTTTTCGAAGATGATGTATCTTTCCTCATTGTGGTATTTCTTAAAAACTTGGTCGGAATATTCAAGAACTAGCTCATTGTCTAGGTCTTCCACCCGGGCAAAAAGTTTATCCAGTTTATCATAATGGCCGAACATCTGGTCGATTACTAATTTTACTACTGGTCCACTAGGTCAGGTTTCCATTCTTCCTGAAAAAGTAAATATCCCTATATGAAAATAAAATATTTATTTTACACCAAAATTTAAATATGTCATTAAATCTCGAAAGTTTATTTGATTTTTTAAAATC